AGTGCACTTCGTGGCTCTCCTGCCTCAGGCATGGCTTTCTTGCTTGCTGCCTTCCTGCCTGCCCGCCCGACCGCCCGCCCCCCTGTCTGCCTGTCTGCCTGCCTGTCTGCCTGCCTGTCTGCCTGGCTAGCTGGCTGGCTGGCGGGGTAATCCCTCTCCCAATTCATTCGTCTTGTTTCCACTTACGTTGAAAAGAGTCTCAGATCACCTTTCACGCGAGCAACGTGAAAACATTTAGTATTTATGAGGCGCCTCAAAAATCGTGAGCAACGTGAAAACATGTAGTATTTATCTTCAACCTTCGCACCTACATTCCCCTTCCCACACACCCACCCCCTGCCGTCTCCATCCCCCTCACCTTGCCTGTCATCTCTATCCATTCCTCGTCGCTGGGATTGGGCAGAGCAAGGCAAGCACAGCAGCAGCAGGCACAGCAGCAACGGTTGTGGATTACCTTCGATCCAATGTCAAGGTTAGTTGGTCCCCACCCTCCCCCCATTCCACCCTCTCTCTCTTCTCGCTTCTACGGCGTGTATCGACCTATCCACTTCGTTCGCATGCCACAGCCTCCCATCCTTCGCCACCCTGAATGTCCATGACTTCATGCTCCCTCGCTCGCACATTTCCTCCCCCCCTTCTCAACCACCACCACCATCACCACCACCACCACACCACCACCCCCATCAGGAGCTGCATTCCCTATCAGCTGATCAAGTCACACTTCTCCGACCGCCATCCTCTTCCTCCCCCGCTCTTGCTTCCACTGCTGCGGCTGCTCCTGGGGCTGAGGGCAAGGAGGCAGGCAAAGAGGCTGGGAAAGTGGAAGGGAAAGAGGCCGGTCCAGAAACGTTCTCGTTTGTTGAAGAAATACTGGATAAGGTGTGTGTGCCATAAAGATATAAAGGGAGGGCCAGAGACGAAGGAGAAACGAAGATATATTCTTGTTCGTTTAAAGATATATTCTTATTTTAAAGAGAGGGCCAGAAACGAAGGAGAAAATCCAAGGCTGGGGAACTTTCAGAATTTGATGGAAGAGGGGAAAGGGAGGAAAAGGGGTCAGGGGAGGGGTGCTGGAAGGGTGGATTGATATACGATGCCTGCTTGCCTTGCATCAGAGCGGGTGATGCCCTAGTATATCAAGGGCATCAGAGACAGATGCCCTAGTTTGCCTTACATATCTTTTTGCTTTCCTTCCCGATATGTCTCCATCTGTCCTTTTGTCCGTTTGTCCAAACTAGGGCTATTCTTTACGCGCCTCAAAGATAGTGCATAGTGTCAACCCTCTTGTAATACGTTGGCTCTCTCACAATTGGGTTGACACTAAGTATGGCATGTGCACGTGCCCGTCAATCCCTGCATGCATGTATACATGTGGTTGCCTGTGATTGCAGGCAGTAAAAGCAGCGGTGGAGCAACGAGTGGATCGGTTTGAGAGGGATGTGCGGCGAGTGAAGGCTGTTATCGACAGGTGGGCTGTTATCCGCGGGTAGGTGCTTTCATGCCTTCGGCACATCACATGACATGGCACACATCCATCTCCTATCAGCCAAATGTACTTCCCATCATTTTCTGTTCGCTGCCTTAAATATCGTCTCTACATCTTTGCATGACACCGCATGCATGACGACTCAAGGCTCGTGACAGGGCTGCATATGCTTTCGGCCGTCTCATATTGACACATGGTCGTGTATGTATCTGTGTTTGTACCGTATTCTGACCGCATGTGTCCTTGCAGCAAGCTTCAGGAGTTTCAGCAGGAGCAGGGCGAGCAACGGCAGAGGTCAAAGCAAGGTACTGCAAGGTTGCACATGGGGTGATGGCACATGGCGTGATGTGATGGCGTATGGGTTGATGGGATATGGGATGATGGCATATGTGGGACGATAACTTGTGGGCTGTTGACACATGGGTCTATCCCATATGCCTTACCAAGCATACCATGTCTTCCCATGCATATCATTCCATGCCTGCCATGTATGCATCACCAGCGCTCTTTATTTCTATCACAGCCTTTTTTCCATTCCTTCTCTCCGTCTCTCCCTCCCTCGGTACCAATACCCGTCACCAGCTCAACGTCTACAGGACACTGCATCGTCCTTCCTGCTTCCTCTCCTTGCACTCCACATCCCTATTTTAGGGACGTCTCAAAACTCTTCCATCCCTTCTCTCCATCTCTCTCCCTCCCTCTGTACTGCTACCCTCCATCAGCTCAACGTCTACAGGACACTGCATCGTCGCTCCTGCTTCCTCTCCTCGCATTCCTCATCCCTCTTGCCCTCTCTCTCATCATCTCCCCTCCTCCTCTCCTTCGTCACTTGGCAAACATTGCCGCTGCCAAGGCGCCGCATCCTTCCAGGTTCGTCCCCTCCTCTTCGCGCTCTCTCCATGGTTTCTTTCTGTGAAGTGCGTTTTCTGTGAGTAACCCTTGTATCATGTGTCGATCACAGTCCTATCTTGTTCCAATAATTAATAGTGTACAATTGCTAAATAATCTTAATAAAAAAAAAAAAACACTAGGTTTCTCAGCATTTACCACATTCACCACTCCATCCTCACCTGTCCCTTCTCCTTACTCCCCTCATGCTCGGCTGCTCTTTGCCCTGCTCTTTTTCCCACCTTCCAGCTGGGAGTTCCCCCCCTACGTCCCACCACACGTTGCCTCCACCATAACCACCGCCGCCACCACCCTATTCTCACCTCTCCTTTCTCCTTCCTCCCTTCCTGCCCATGGCGCTTTCCCCCTTCCCCCAACCTCCAGCTGGGAGTTCCCCCCCTACGTCCCACCACAAATCGCCTCCACCATCACCACTGCCGCCTCTCTCCTAATCGCTGAGGCCCACCGATTTGCAGAAACAGCAGCTGCAGTTGCTTCTTCTGTCACTCTCCCACCATCCCTCGCTCCCGCTGCTGACATGCGCATTCAACTAGTAGTCATAGCCCTGCTGGTTTTCGCCTACCTCGCCTTGCGCACCTTTGCTACTGTGAGTACCACGAGAATTATTTTTCCTCTTTCCCCTTCTTCCCCACCCCCCATCCCCTCTCTCTCTCCCTTCCCCCTCCTCCCCCTCTTTCCTCCCACTGTTCCCCCTGTAATCCGACCAGAACAATTTATGTCTTGGAGTATTTTAGGGAGTATCCCTCATTAGCCTCTTTCTGCTAAAAGGGACATAAAACACAGAAAGCAAAGCAAAGAAACCCTCGGCCTTGAAAACATTCTAAGGCACCTCAATAACCCTCTTTTTCGCCTCCTCTAATTCCTCTGCTTCTCCAAAATCCACATCCTCCTCCCTCCCAATTGTTATTCAAACTTCCTTACTTCCCTCATCTCCCACTCCTCTTCTTCTCACACCTGCCCCCTCTCATCCTCTCCTCTCCCCCGCACCATTTCAGGTACTGGATAGAGCTCCACCATCCGCTGCTGCATCGGACAGGAGCAAGCTACGAGTATTTCAGGCCTTCTGTGACATGGCTCTCACTTTCTGTGGCGCCCGGCGCCCTGCCATGTAGAAACAGCTGCTGAGTGACAGTGGTTACCGTTAGTTGTGAAGCTTCGTGAAGCTTGTGACATGGCTCTCACTTTCTGTGGCGCCCGACGCCCTGCCATGTAGCAATGGCTTAGGGAGGTCTCGTATTTGCTGTTGAGGCGCCTCGATCGAGTTTACCGTATACTTTTGTGAAGTTTGCAACAAGTCTCTCTCTGTCTCTCTCTCTCGCCTTCTGTGGGGCCCGATGCTGTGCCATGTAGCAACAACCCGATGCTTTGCAACAAGCCCGATGCTGTGCCATGTGCCAGTGAGGTATTGTTTTGCACATGCTTTTAGAGTGCACGTATTCAATTCATTGCCTTAGGTAAATTGGGTGGTGCGGTGCGGCTCTTGGATTCTCTTCCGTGGTACCTGCTTGCACAATGCATGGTCTGTGGCACCTCCAATGCCCAGCCATGCGGTGCTGTGCAGAGGCTGAAGGCTGTTGTTGAGGTGTCATGTCATAAATTCGGACAAACTTGAGGTGCCTCAAGTGGCTCTCTTGCTGGATCTGCTCTTTGGTTACCATGTCATTTAGTCAAGTGAACTTAGCCAATCCTGCATAACAAGAAGCAGGTGAATGTGAACAAGTCATCCCTCAAAGTCAAGAATCAGTTGCTAGCACTGTGCTGCCACAGCACAGTGCGGAACTAATGCACTGTTACCCGTACCTAGTTCCCCCAGGCAGACCAGCAGCAGACCCTTGAGGTAATCTACAATCGATAAGATCAAAAGCCCCTCACAACACACCGGTGCAGTCAGAGCAGTGTAGAGCGGTGCAGATCAATACAGAGCTGTGCAGAGCCATTGAGTGGTATCACCTGGTAGCCCTCTCATTGTTCCATCCTGAAGTGACTTGCTCATAAATAATCGCAGAACACAGAACCCGTCCGTGACCCGTCTCATCTTGTTTCTCCTCACCTCACCCCACCCTCTCCCTGCACACTTCCTCCTCCTTCAGCTCCCTTTGCTTCCCAACCCACCCTACAGGCACAAGTGGGTATGCCATCTCTATCCACTCAAGCTGGTGTCGAGGAGATGAGAGAAGAGGCGAGGTGAAGCTGCAGGTTGTTCCCCTGTGCGCCTCCCCCCATGCTCTCAATAATGCCCTTCACTGATGCATACGTGCCGGCAACAGCACAGACGAAGCCTATGCTTATGAGGAGATAGGACAACAGGTGCTGGGGAGAGGGAAAGAAGGGAAGAAGGCGAGGAGGCAAGTAAGGAGGCAGGATGGCAGATGAAGATTGGCAATGAGGAATGGTAAGGCACAGCATGGCATGGCATGGCATGGCATGGTATGGTATGGTATGGTATGGTATGGTATGGTATGGTATGGTATGGTATGGTATGGTATGGTATGGTAAGGTATGGTACGGTATGTCCATATTCATCAGTTGTTAGGTTTTGGAGAATTGGGTTCCGGGTTTGGAGTTCAGGTTTAGGGGTTGAAAACACACCTGCGAGAGCGTGGCTTTAGGCCCGAGGATGCGAAGGTAGCAGGCACAGGGCAGCATGACAGACTGCGGAAGGAGCACCAACACAGCGGCGAAGGGCGGGAGAGAGAGGGAGATAGAGACGTGAAGGAACATAGGAGAGAGAGGGAGATAGAGACGTGAAGGAACATAGGAGAGAGAGGGAGATAGAGACGTGAAGGAACATAGGAGAGAGAGGGAGATAGAGACGTGAAGGAACATAGGAGAGAGAGGGAGATAGAGACGTGAAGGAACATAGGAGAGAGAGGGAGATAGAGACGTGAAGGAACATAGGAGAGAGAGGGAGATAGAGACGTGAAGGAACATAGGAGAGAGAGGGAGATAGAGACGTGAAGGAACATAGGAGAGAGAGGGAGATAGAGACGTGAAGGAACATAGGAGAGAGAGGGAGATAGAGACGTGAAGGAACATAGGAGAGAGAGGGAGATAGAGACGTGAAGGAACATAGGAGAGAGAGGGAGATAGAGACGTGAAGGAACATAGGAGAGAGAGGGAGATAGAGACGTGAAGGAACATAGGAGAGAGAGGGAGATAGAGACGTGAAGGAACATAGGAGAGAGAGGGAGATAGAGACGTGAAGGAACATAGGAGGGAGAGGGAGATAGAGACGTGAAGGAACATAGGAGAGAGAGGGAGATAGAGACGTGAAGGAACATAGGAGAGAGAGGGAGATAGAGACGTGAAGGAACATAGGAGAGAGAGGGAGATAGAGACGTGAAGGAACATAGGAGAGAGAGACATGGGTGATCACGGAGGAGCATCCTGTGGTGAGGAGGAGTGATGAGCAATGAAGAGCGATACTGATAGCAAAGAGGAACCTTGCCATTTAGAATAGAAGTGCCTGTTGGTGGCAGGAGAATGGAATGGAGTTGAGTGGAGTGGGAAATGGTACGGGGTGCTTTGACCAGGCAACAAGGTCGTTCTTCATTTGCAGTGCAGCAAGCAAGGGGAAAACGTATCATACAGGGGAGGAGAGAGGGATGCACGTACCACAGTCATGCTAAGGAACGAACCAATGAACGCCATCACGTAGCCTGCATTCACACACACACACACACACAGAGGAAAGAGATGCACACAGATCGTTGCGGGGCACGAGTTTTGAGTTGACTCAAAACAGATCGTTGCGGGGCACGAGGTAGGAGCGGAAAGGAAGAAATCAGCTTGAAGAAAGAAGCGGCAGCAAGAAGGAACAGCAAGAACTCAGCTGCAGAAGAGGGACATGGAAGGAGCAGCAGCAAGACATGTTGGTTTGACTTTTGAGAATCATCAAAAATCAAACAAACTCAGCTGCAGAAGAGGGACATGGAAGGAGCAGCTGCAAGAAGAAAAAGGAGTGTGATTTAAGAGAGAACAGCGCCAGAAAAGAGAGCCACTGGGGGAACCAGCAGTGAGGACACTAACTGTTCCACCAAAGAACCGAACCACCTCACTCGACAAAGATATCACTCGTGCCCTTCTTTGGTGCAGTGCAGATTCTCACCAAAGAAAGGCACGAGTAGGGCGACAGCGACAGTGGAGACGACAAGCGCAGTGCGGATGGCGAGGGAGGCCCGGCGGTAGTCCGGGGAGTACGGGTCTAAAGGGAGGAGCTCCTCCAGACACAGCGCCACTGGCGTCATGGAGAGCGCGTATGTGCTTGGGGGGATGCCGACAGTAACAGGCGATGGTAATGGGATTATATGATGGTGGTATGAAGGAGATGGGGTTTACATATGCAAGGAGATGGGGAGAAGGTGGTGGGAGAAAGGGAGGGAAGGGAAGCGGTGGGGCAGAAGAAGGGGAGACACGATGGTGTTGGAACGTGTGGAAGTAGGGGGGGTGGGGAGGAGGGTGAGAGGGGGAGATCAAGGGGAGAGATCAGTGAGGTGTATCAGAAAGGGGATCAGCGAGTGGAGAGGAGGGTAGGAGGAGGGCACAGTGGGTTAAGGAAACCTGAGAAGAGAGAGTTTACACCTGGATGGGTGAGCATATGACTTTTGAGACGTCTCAAAATTCGTCTACTTTTGAGACGTCTCAAGGGTAGGAGGAGGGCACAGTGGGTTAAGGAAACCTGAGAAGAGAGAGTTTACACCTGGATGGGTGAGCATATGCTGGGAGCTTCGGGAACATGAGCAAGTGTTGCAGCACAGGGCATCAAGATTGTATATGTAGGAAAAATGGCAAAATCAAAATCTCAAAATGATGGAATGGCATTGCCACGACTGCAGGGAAGGAAAGAATGGAAGTGAGTGGCACGAAAAAAAAATGAGTGAGAATGAGCGAGTAAGAGAGAGCGGTAGAGCGGAGAAAAGTGGAGTGGAGTGGAGTGAAGCAAAGGATGAGAGAAAGGGGGGTTGGATTGTTCGCATGAGAGGATATTTGGTGAAGGGGTTGACGACCTGCCATAGAGTCACACGAGAGGAGCGAGGCGAACAATAAGGGGGAGAAGGGGAAAACGAGGGTGGGAGGGGAAAAGGGGGGAAGGGGGGAGGGGAGGAAGAGATGAGGATGTAGGACATTGTAGGAGTAGCATGGGTGGGTGAGTGGGTGGGTGAGTGGATGGGACAAAAGCAGATATAGAAGCACAGTAGAAAACATCGACAGTCTTACGGCAACACTCACACACAGGTAGCACCTCACTCACAGTCACCCTGTCAACCGAGTGTGGTCCGCCTTGGATATCTCATAAACACCCCCTTACACTCACATCCCCTTACAGTAACATCCCTTAACAATCCTATCCCCTTAACAATCACATCCCCTTTACAAACACATCCACTTTACAAACACATCCCCTGACAGCCAGTCAGCTTACAGCCACATCACATCACATCACATCACATCACATCACATCACATCACATCACATCACGTACACACAGAGACACTCCCATGTGGGCTCACAGTGGTCCAGATGGCGATCTTGGAGGCGATGAATTGGCGGGGCAGATTCAGCGTGATCTGATTCTCCAGCGCACTCCCAAACATGGTGAACCCCATGACTGCCATGCCGCCATAGATGAGCGTGCATAGGATGAAGCTGCGACCAGGGGGTTTTGACAGAGAGAGGAGTGATAGCGAGGGAGAGGTGGGTGGAGAAAGAAGATTAGCGATCGCACTCTTACTGGAAAATCTCGCACTAGACAAACATGATTGCTTGCCTTCAACATAATTGCTCACTGATAGAAGACAAGAAGAAGTGGAAGAAGAAGAAAGGGAAGGGCATGCTCAGCTCATTCCGAGGAAACCTCCATCAACAGGTTGCATACCTGCAAGAAGCTACCAACCTGCAGTAGGGATGGCCAAAAACGTGCCAGTTTCAAGGTTACTGGCATCAGCAGGCTGCCTACTTGCAACAAGCTACCCACCTGCAGTAGCCCACCCACCTGCAGTAGCCCACCCACCTGCAGTAGCCCACCCACCTGCAGTAGCCCACCCACCTGCAGTAGAGCACTTTGTTGAAGTCATTGCGGTTGCGCATGGACGTGTATATGTTGGGGAGTACGGCATGGCCCTTTTTTAAGTGCCTCAAATATAGAGTCCTCACACGCGGCTTTCATGTTGAGAGATTTCTTTAGGCGTCTCAAAAGCAGAGTACCGACCTGCAGTAGAGCACTTTGTTGAAGTCGTTGCGGTTGCGCATGGACATGTAGATGTTGGGGAACACAGCATGGCCCGAGTAGCAGAAGCCAAAGAGGCCGATGGTGACGGGCATGCCCCATATGCTGAGCAGCGGACCCGACTGGTGGAATCCCACGTCTGCCACTCCCACCCACGCCACTGATGACACCACCACCACCGACGCCACCACTCCCCCCGCTGCGACACAGGAGCACCACGCCAGCAGCAGGTGTACACAAGGAGGGAGGGAGAGAGAGCAGATGGAGATGCAAGGGGAGGGGAGAATTGAAAAGGGGGTGTGTGGGGAGGAGCATGTATTTGAGGCGCCTAAAGAAGAGTGGCAGAAGCCAAAGAGGCCGATGGTGACGGGCATGCCCCATATGCTGAGCAGCGGACCCGAAATCCCACATCTGCCACTCCCACCCACGCCACGCCACTGACGACACAACCACCACCGACGCCACCACTCCCCCCGCTGAGTGCAGCAGCAGCAGCAGCACAGGTTTGCAAAGCATACGCAGAGGGGATCGAAAGACAAGGGAGGCAAAGTGAGGGGAAGGGGAATGCGCAGACGCGGTGGGGAGAGGAGGAAGGGGAGGGAGAGAGGGGAAGGGGGAGATATCATTGGTGTGTGCGGTTGGGGTGGGAGGGAGATGGGGAGAGGGATTAGTGGGTTTACGACAGGGTTTAATTATCTTATCTTGACAGAGTTTAATTATATTATCTTGACAAAGTTTGATTATCTTATCTCGACAGACTTTGATGATCTTATCTCGACAGAGCTTAATTATCTTATCTCGACAGAGTTTAATCACCTTATCTCGACAGAGTAGAATTATCTTATCTCGACAGAGTTTAATTATCTTATCTCGACAGAATTTAATTATCTTATCTCGACAGAGTTTAATTATCATATCTCGACAGAATTGAATTTCTTATCTCGACAGAATTTAATTATCTTATCTCGACAGGGTGGCCACAACATTCTCACCGAGGCGTAGGAGAGGAGGCTGAGGTCGGTCGCGCAGGTACATGGTGGGCAGTGGGCAGTATGAGATAGCCATGCAGAGGGCGCCTGTGTAAGCTGAGCTGTGATACCGTGGCCGTAACAAGCTCACCAGAGACGTAGGATAGGAGGCTGAGGTCGCGCAGGTACATGGTGGGCAGGATGCAGAGCGCGGATATGAGCACAAACACATGGCGCGACGTCAGGTGCACGCCCAGCACGGACAGACCCAGCTGCGGAAACATGGCGCCCAGATTGTCGCCCTCCAGGATCAGAAACTCCACACAGCATGCCTGATGGAAAGTGGGTGAAGGTGGGGAAGGTGCAGGGTTTTGTGGATAACTGGGTTGAGACAGTGGGACCATCAGCTCAAGAAACATGGCACCTAGGTTGTCGGCCTACAGGATTAGAAACTCCACACAGGATGCCTGTGCAAGGGTGTTTTAGAGACGTCTCAAAAACAACCTCGCTACACGTGGCTAAACTCCACACAGCATGCCTGTGCAAGGGGTGGGGTTGGGAAGGGACGGGGTTGAAGGCAGGAAAGCAGGAAGATGGTGGATTTCGATTTTTGAGGCGCCTCAAAAACAGTGGCTTTTGAGTCGACTCAACAGTGGGAAAGCAGGAACATAGTGGCTTTTGAGTTGACAAAAGTCACCTCGAGAGGGAAGGAGAAGGGGGAGGAGTGGACGGTGGGAAGGTAGAATTATGGGGATCAAGGGTATTGGAGGAGAAAAGGCTTTTGAGGCGCCTCAAAAGTAGAATTATGGGGATCAAGGGTATTGGAGGAGAAAAAGGGAGATGGATGGAATAGGGAGGATGGATCGGGGAGGAGAAACGGAATATTAAGGCGGGTATAGGGTGCATGTGACTTTGTGTGCATGCATGTGACTTTGTATGTGTCGGTGGCTGCCCTCTTTTTAAGTCCACAGAAAATAGAGGAAATGGAAAAGCAAGCGTTGACCAAAGAGAATGATAGTTAACCTAGCAACTTACATATAAAGGACAACCTCGCTTGGCAGTGACTTTTGAGTTCCAACCTACATTAAGTTCCACAAAACGCATGATTTGATGTGGCATTGGAACGACAGGAGGTTTTTCTAAACGTCTCAAAGATTGCTCAATGCTTCGTTCTCATTCGTTTCCACTTGCACTGATGAAGGGGTGACAATCTCATCAGATGGTTGAGCAACTTACGTATAGTTCCACGTAGAGGACGATCTGATGTGGCATTGGAGCACCAGGAGGAGACGGACACGGCGAGGCCGGCAGGAGAGACAGGCAGGAACACGGGAGGGAGAAGGCACACAAGGGACGAGAAAGGAACAGGTTAGAAGGAGTTTGGGAGGCCTCTTGGGCCAGGCATGGGAAGAAGCTTGGCAAAGGCTTGAGAAATAGGAAGCATTTTGCTGAAGAATGCTAGAAGACGAAGAAAAATTTTAGTCAAGTGTGAAGAGAATGAAGGAAAAGAAGACAAAGAAGAAGGAGATAAAAAAGCCTGCGAATCTCTCCTTGCATTCTCCCTTCATATCCATGTGACATGACAGCTGGTCAATTCCATTGCTAGCACACACCCCGCCCAATCGCCCCCGACTCCCGCCTTTTCCTTCTTCCCCCCCCCCTTCCCCCTCCCTCTCTCTCCTCCCTTCGTGCCTCTCACCGAGATCAGCAAGCGTCCCATCTGCCCGAAAGCAGCCTCGCCAATATCCGGGTACGTCTCCAGTCCCGGCTCACTATCCAGGCAGAACCGCAGCACCAGGCCCGTGTAACAGCAGATCGCCGCCAGCAGCACCAGCAGCAGCAGCCCCGCCCACCCGCCCTGCATGAGCGCATACGGGGTGGAGAGAACCCCTACTCCTGCGAGGATATTCACCCCGTTGAACATCGCCTGGATGAAACTACTCCCACTCCCCTTGCCGTGTAGCTCGTAGTACGTGTCTTCGTCGTCTTCCTCCTCCTCCTCCCCGTCCTCCTCTCCGTCGTAATACTCGTCCTCGTCGTCCTCCTCCTCGTCTTCCGCTGCTGCTTTTCCAGAGCCACGCCGGCCTAGCTCCGGAATAGCAGGCGCCGCAGCCTCGGACACACGCCCATCAGCGCCTATTAAGAGCTGACCGTCTGGTGAGATCTTCCTGTGCTGCTGCTGGTGCTGGTGGTGGTGGTGCTGCTGCTGCTGCTGTTGCTGCTGGTAGTGCTGCTGCTCCTGGTGCGGTGGCAGCAGTCCCTGCTGCAGCTGCGGCTGGGTATAGCTTGAGGCGGAGAGGATGGGGGACTTGCCGCGGTAGGAGAGGGAGGGGTGTGGGGAGGTGAGTGCGCCGCTCAGTCGGTGCGACAGAGGGCTGAAGAGCTTCGGAATGCTGGGGGAGGCCATGTGACTGTATACGTCCATGGATTGACTGTAACGGGGGGGGAGAAGTGGGGGGACGGCAGGGTTTGGTTGGAGGGAAGAAGTGGGGGGACGGGGGGTGGGGAAAAGGGGCGAAGGAAGAGAGGGTGGGGCACAGGAGTGATGATCGTGGGGAAGGGGAGCAGAGCAGAGGGTAAGGGAAGCAGAAGGAAACGGGAGAACAAGGAAAACTTGGCCCTCCGAAGCGATGGCTTGTTATCTACCAGAAAACCCACCGCCTCTCACCTATGTGACATATCTACACCGAGAATTGGCAAGGAAATGAAACCAACCGGGCCTGCCTGTCAAAGTGGGAAACACGCACAATGCAGCCGCTTATCGTCATCGCTTTCAAAACCTCTCTCCTTCATTCCCTCTGTCTCCCTATCTCCCCCTCTCCCCCTCTCTCCCTCGCTCTCCTCTTTCCCACTCACCGGTAGCTTTGCGGCCAGTGCGCTCGTTGCTGCAGCGACGGCCGGTCCTGCACAGACCCCACCCCTTCCTCCTCGTCCAACTCATCGTCATCATATCGACCACTCTGCGCCGCCCTCCCCCCTCTCCCCATGCTCCCGCTCCGCCCTACCGCCCTCGCTCCCGTGCTTCCGCTCGCGACCGCTCCGCGCGAACCCCCGATGCCGTAGCTCCCGCTGTGCGGAGCCCGGGGATGGCTACCCGCTGCCGCAGCGCGGGGCCTGTGCGCGTGCGCGTGATGCGCGGAGTGGTGCATGCGCTGATCTTGCTGGTGCTGCTGCTGCTGCCGCTGCTGCGGGTTGGCGGGGTGCGCGGAATGCTGCGGGGCCGGGTGCGGGTGGCGCTGGCCTGGCGCGGGCCTTTCCCGCTCCCCTGGATCCTCCGTTATGTGGTCGAAGTCCCCGTCGAAATAGAAACCATGCTGCCCTGACGCCATTGGGAAACGCGTCTGGCTGATCTGATCTGATTTGTTCTAAGGTGATTTTTTTTTTTACAAAATCGACGGGTTTAGCTGTTTGAAAGATGTAGACTCGTTCTGACTGTGTCAGATGTAGCTTTCTAGGACCGAATGTAGCTCAGTAGCTTTCTGGGACTCGTCGTGCGGACGCCACGTCACTCACTTCCGAGTGGCTCTGGCTCGGGGCCAGCGCGAAATGCAACCTGCCAGATTAGAGATCGTAAAAGCGTTAGCGTCAGAGGCGTTTGGTAGATGACGGCGAAATGCACACCCCATTTACACACAGCACGGGTCATTGATACTGGTAACGAGAGACAATGGCGCTAAGGTTGATGTCTGCAAGTTCTCCACCGAAACGTCTTACCACGATAATATCTCAGAGCATGACCGAAATTTCAGCCTTTCGAAGCTTCAAGACGCCGATGTCACCATGACTGGAGTCCAGACTAGTGGAGATTAAATACGAAGCCCCGTCTGTTAGGAAACGCCTCAATGCTAAATCCTTCATGCAACAAACTTGCAAGGCGAAGAGGAATAGCGGCTACGAACGGAACTCCACAATGCTGGAGTGCTGTTACTGATCAGCCAAGATACCAAGGCGTTGTCAGTTGGCGTCGTCGCAACGATGTTTGACCAGAAGAGTTGCTCTGGCTCCTTCACACACCCAAGGCTTCGGGGTGCCCTCCGTTCTGTTCGAACTGGTGCACAGGAGCACAGAGGGAAGAACATGACGACACTTCGGGGATCGTCGCTCTCCTCGCACATGACATCGCGTAAGGGCGGGTCAGGTAGGTTACGTTTTAGCCATTTTCGTAAATATATCGCTTTTTGTTTCAATTCATCTGACTGTACCGAAAGGTGTTTTATGTACAGTTCGAGTCAAACTAGTCATGACGGGAAGTTCGTGCTGACACGTATCAGTTCATGCACACAACCACCCCCTAACCAAAAAGCAGTTACCACATACTCGCGAATCAATGGCGCGAACAGCACACACGGAAGCCATACTGCTTTGGCAACAGGGAGGCAAAGATTTGGCGAGGGGGCGGAAAAGGCGAAGATCACAGCGAAGTTGGTTTAGCGAATGCGGTTTGTTACTCACTGGACAGGTTGTGAACTGCCGCACGTTTCTGGCATGAACCTGAAGTCGTAACCCCCAAGCTATCCAGGACGTTTTCATCCTGAACCGACTCACTGTTCGTTTCTCGTCCGGGGTCGGGAATTTAAAAAAAAGTACAGTTACACACCAAAATCGGGTAACTGAAATGAAAAAAATGTGAAAACGTAACCTACCTGACCCGCCCTAACACACTCCAACCAGCCAACATGCCGGACGAGCATATGCTTGTCCTCTGCATCTTCAGCCCATTAGCCCATTGGAAAATGTCATGTCATTCATGTCACGCCAGTTCGTGTCAGTTCTGCGGTGATTTCAAGGAACAAGTGGGTAGGCGCGCAGCCAACTGGATCGTGGGCGCGCTGACGCTGGAATCTGGGGCTTGGTTCTCCTTGCCACGTCGACCTGACTGTGGGGACCACAGCAGCAGCACGCAGTTCGCCAACTTTATGAGTTGGGATATCGCGGGTGTCATCCAGTGATTGCTTACATCCCCTTGACATTAACGAGCGGCGGGTCAACAACGAATGGAAGCTCGCCTAGGGACTGTAACTGAGGATGGCTTGTGAGTGGTGGAACCCACTGTATCTGCAGGATGCTGACGATCATGGTCCACGTGCATCACTTTCTAATCCCACGTGCAGATTTTCTCAACATGGATTGGCTGACGCGGCATGTGGTACAGTTGATGGATGATGGAGGGTACGTACCTGTCAAGAGAAGACTTCTTTCAAATATCATGTACAGACAAGAAACGTACGCACCATTGGAGTTGTTAACGGAAAAGAAGGAACACTAAAAGATTACTCTAAAATGTTACAATCGGGCACTGCAACATGCTACTGTAATGTATTTCACTTGTTGCCTAGCCTTGCTTGTTCTTTGATGCATTGAGCCACTCGCAGCGAAACCCCAGGCTTTCCAAGGAGGGAAGGAAGCTTCTCATAGCCTGCGAGCTGCAGTGAGCGAGCAGATTCACTCACAAGCAGCTCCATTGTTGCACCAGCTATAGCTTCCGGAGTGGCATTGTCTTGGATAAATTCCGGAACAAGCTGCAAGCCAAAGACAGTTAAAGCCACGGTTCAGAAGGGGAAGAGGAGGAAAAGGGAAAAGAGGGTGCACAAGAAGAACCCCCCCCCCCCCAAAAAAAAAAAAAAAAAAAAAAAAAAAAAAAACGTAGTCAATTTTAGTGGAAATCACTCTCTGGAACAACAAGCTAGCCGAAACAGAGGGGAAGGGGTAAGGGGGAGAGGGAAAGAGGAGAGGAACTAAGTGGGAAGCAACAGAAAAGGGGGAGGGAGGAGGCATACACGTTCCAGCAGCACCGGGTTGAGAAGGGAGTAAAAGGGGTGACAGACTCAAGGTGGCTTCTGAGTTGACTCAACTTCTGAGTCGACTCAACAGTCACCTAGGAAAAAAGGGGCGAGAGAAGGAGGCGTACCGGTTCCAGTAGCACAAGGTTGACAAGGGAGTAGAAGGGGTGGCGGAATTTAACAAGAAAACGCGCAGGGAGCGCGGTGGCAGGGGAGAGGCGGTAGAGGACCACTTGAGGTACCTGATGGGGACAGCACGTGCATGCATGCATGGAATGAGAGGGATGAGAGGGATGAGAGGGATGAGAGGGATGAGAGGGATGAGAGGGATGAGAGGGATGAGAGGGATGAGAGGGATGAGAGGGATGAGAGGGATGAGAGGGATGAGAGGGATGAGAGGGATGAGAGGGATGAGAGGGATGAGAGGGATGAGAGGGATGAGAGGGATGAGAGGGATGAGAGGGATGAGAGGGATGGGAGGGATGAGAGGGATGAGAGGGATGAGAGGGATGAGAGGGATGAGAGGGATGAGAGGGATGAGAGGGATGAGAGGGATGAGAGGGATGAGAGGGATGAGAGGGATGAGAGGGATGAGAGGGATGAGAGGGATGAGAGGGATGAGAGGGATGAGAGGGATGAGAGGGATGAGAGGGATGAGAGGGATGAGAGGGATGAGAGGGATGAGAGGGATGAGAGGGATGAGAGGGATGAGAGGGATGAGAGGGATGAGAGGGATGAGAGGGATGAGAGGGATGAGAGGGATGAGAGGGATGAGAGGGATGAGAGGGATGAGAGGGATGAGAGGGATGAGAGGGATGAGAGGGATGAGAGGGATGAGAGGGATGAGAGGGATGAGAGGGATGAGAGGGATGAGAGGGATGAGAGGGATGAGAGGGATGAGAGGGATGAGAGGGATGAGAGGGATGAGAGGGATGAGAGGGATGAGAGGGATGAGAGGGATGAGAGGGATGAGAGGGATGAGAGGGATGAGAGGGATGAGAGGGATGAGAGGGATGAGAGGGATGAGAGGGATGAGAGGGATGAGCACATGCAGGGTGTAGGGATAGAGAGGACTGCGGACTATATAGGTGTGCCTGCTTGTCTGCTTGCTTGGTTGCTTTCTTGCGAGTGCAAGTCAACGAGAGTAAATGCAAGTCAAAGCAGGTCAACGCGGTTCACCTTGAGCAGGGCGAGCTGGAGAGTGACACTACCGGACTTGGTGATGGCTGCATCAGCTGCTGCCATGGCTGGTAGGCTCTGCTGTGGCTGATGGCAGTGGGCATAGAGTGGAGGGCAGCCAGTGGAGTGAAAGAAAGGGTGAACCGAAGGGAGAGAAAGAGGGTGGGGGGAGGGAGTGGGGGTGCGAGGGAGAGAGGAAAGGAGACACGCATAAACATAACGAGGGTGTTTTTGAGACGTCTCAAAAACATAAACCCTCCAGCACTCGACAGCAAATGTTCATGCTGAATGCCCTTACTGCCCCGCCACCCAGCCTCTCAAGGATTATTCTGCCCAAGGCAGCTGGATTGGAGTTGCTTTTGAGAGCTCTCAAGAGAGGCACCATACCTCCAGCACTGTGCAGCATCTGTGCATGTTGAACGCCCTCAGCTGCTCCTCCACCTGTCCCCGCAAAGACTTATCTGCCAGAGGCAGCTAGATGATAATTGCTTTAGAGAGTTCCTCGATAGTGGAGCCATACCTCGAGCACTCGGCAGCATGTGTGCATGTTGAACGCCCTCAGTTGCTCCTCCACCTGTGCTCGCAAAGACTCGTCTGCAAGAGGCAGGAGAAAGAGGGGCGCCCTGTGACGGGGGTGGGGGGAGGAAGAAAAGGGGGAACAAAAAAAAAAAAAAGGAAAAGGGAGGGAAGGGTTGTGAAAAAAAAGGGAGGGAGGAAGAGCGGGGAAGGAGGAGGTGCTGAGAGGGAGGAAGGGGGGAGAAGGAGGAGGTGCTGAGAGGGAGGAAGGGGATGGAGAGCGGTTGGAAGGGGAGTTCGTGCAGAGAGAGGGAGATGTGGGGTCGGCATTTGAAGAGCAGAAAAGCAAGGTATGAATGGGAAAGTCGTGGAGAGAGGAAGAGGGAGATAGATACTAGAGGGGATGAATTGTGGTGAGGCATGCTGCGTATTCGCCAGAGGTTGAAGGGCTTGAAAACACGGAAGCCGAAACAGGTGCGGAGAGAGGTAGAAAGGAGAGATCTGGGAAAATAAATAAATGAATTAAAAAAAAAAAAAAAAAAAAAAAGGTGCAGAGGAGTTGTGGTGGGGCAAGCGGTTGAGAGCTCACTCGCGGTTAGCATCAAGCATTTGTTGGTTGAGCAGCCGAGCAGCTGACAGCACGATGGGGAGGATGAAGGAGGTCTCCTGAGGGCGAGAGGCTGGCAGCAGCGCCACCACCCTGGCAGTCGGGGAGATTGCTAGCTGTGATCGCGCCTGCGGTGAGTTGGAGTTAGTGCAGGAGAGGGAGAGAGGGAGAGCAGAAGAGAGGGAGAGAGGGGACCGTTTGAGAGAGGGTAAGCAACGGAGGGAGGACAGATCAGAGCGGGGGGCAAAAGGGAGATCGAAAGAAAGATTCTGAGCTGATTATTGAGTCGACTCAAACAAGCTTTTGAGCCGGGTCAGCTAGTTCAGAGACTTTCCAGTTCCTAGAACCAAGTTTCGTCAGAAAAAAACGTTTTTTGCAAGATTTCTGAATAATTCCTGGGAAACAGAAAGCGTGAGAGAAGAGGAGACAGGCACAGCGACAGGGAAGCTCGGCACACACTTTGAACAGAAGGAAAGAGGAGCAACAAGGAACCAACACGAGAATTTATGCATGCGCTCACCTGCTTTCGACTTGGCGCATGGGCAACAGTGTCCACTAGAGGGTGGCCAAATAGCTTCACTCTGGCTCCCACTGATGAGAAGAACTCAGCCTGTGAGGGGGGGCATGGGAGAAAGGAGGGGTGATAAAGGGGTGGTGGTGGTGAATAGGGTGGCCGAACCGAACACCACCTGCTGTCGGCTCGGCACCTCAAAATACAAATGATGTCAGCTTGGCGCATATGCAACGGTGTCCTGTCCACTAGAGGGTGGCCGAATAGCTTCACTCTGGCTCCCACTGATGAGAAGAACTCGGCCTGTGCGGGGGGGCATGGGAGAAAGGGGTGATGATGAGTAGGGTGGCCGAATGAGTAGGGGTGATGATGCGCATGGGCAACAAAGGAGGCCGTTAGAGGGTGGCCGAATAGCTTCACTCTGGCTCTCACTGATGAGAAGAACTCGGCCTGTGCGGGGCATGGGGCAGACGGATGGTGGTGATGATGAAGGGATGATGATGCACATCACCTCGTCGTCGGGGTAAGTGGCGATAACGAGGTCACAGGCAGGAAGGCAGCAACCGGGACACAGCCACACACCCAGACACACCCACAGACACACAGAGAAACGGAAACTGATTCGCTCTTCCCACTCTCACGCCAACAGCTATATTGGAGTGACTTTTGAGAATTCTCAAAAGTCACCCACAGACACACAGAGAAACGGAAACTGATTCCCTCTTCCCACTCTCACGCCAACAGGTGAAAAAAGGAGTGTTTTGAGACGTCTCAAAACAGAAAAACGGAAACTGATTACCTCTTCCCACTCTCACGCCAACAGGCAAGGCTCACCTCGTCGGGGTAAGTGGCGATGACGAGATGAGAGGCAGCAACGGAGGCGATGCGAGGGGAGGAGGACGAGGAGAAGAGCCACTCGTTGGGCGGGATGTAGTAGATGACCTGCGTGGCGGCTGCATGGGGCGATGAGAGGAGTGCAGTGGGGGGAAGCGATGGGGAGAGATGGGGGAGAGATGGAATGGGGCAAGAGAGAAGGGGCAGGAGGAGGCAGAGAAGAGCCACTCGTTGGGCGGGATGTAGTAGATGACCCGCGTGGCGGCTGCACGGGCGATGAGAGGAGTGCAGGGGGGGAAGGTGGGGGAAATATGGATTGTGGTAAGAAAGTAGAGGGAGGAGGAAGAGGAGCAGAGCTCCTCGTTGACCCGCGACTTCTGAGAACTCTGAAAAGTGGCTCGCACCAATATAGCTGCTGCTCTGCTCGTTGAGTTGAGTTGACCTGCGTGGCGGCTGAACGAGGAGAGGGGAGAGGAGGGGAGGGGAGGGGAGAGGAGGGGAGAGGAGGGGAGAGGAGGGGAGGGGAGGGGAGAGGAGGGGAGAGGAGGGGAGAGGAGGGGAGAGGAGGGGAGAGGAGGAGAGAGGAGGGGAGAGGAGGGGAGAGGAGGGGAGAGGAGGGGAGAGGAGGGGAGGCACGGATGATGTTATATCCGTGTGACTTTTGAGAATTCTCAAAAGGCGCGGATGATGGAAGGCAGGCGTGAGGGGAGGCATGAATGCAGGGAGAATGGCTCATGAACCACCCATGACCCACGACCCACCCACAACCCATGCCCCATGAATGAACCATGCCCCATGCCCCATGGACCGTGAATGGCAGTGAACAGGGACAGGGGTATGCTGTTAAGAGCAGTCGGGCGAGAAGCAATGATTACGACGCACGATGGCTGCTTTTGATTCGACTCAGCAGGCAAACAGTCACCATGGCCTAAGGACTTTTGAGACGTCTCAAAATTCGACTCAGCAGGCAAACAGTCACCATGGCTTAAGGACTTTTGAGACGTCTCAAAATTCGACTCAGCAGGCAAACAGTCACCATGGCCTAAGTTTACGTTCAACAACGAGCAGGCCAAGGGGATGTAATCATTGCTGGGGCATGCTCAGATGTTTAAGGTTACGTTGAGCATTGAGTCAATGAGATGCTGGCATGCTCAAACCCGTATGAGGTGCTCACATGCACACATGCACACATGCTCACATGCACACATGCTCACATGCACACATGCACACATGCACACATGCTCACATGCACACATGCTCACATGCTCACATCCACACATGCACACATGCACACATGCTCACATGCACACATGCTCACATGCACACATGCACACATGCACACATGCTCACATGCACACATGCTCACATGCTCACATGCACACATGCACACATGCACACATGCTCACATGCTCACATGCACACATGCACACATGCTCACATGCACACATGCACACATGCACACATGCTCACATGCTCACATGCACACATGCACACATGCACACATGCTCACATGCACACATGCTCACATGCACACATGCTCACATGCTCACATGCACACATGCACACATGCACACATGCTCACATGCACACATGCTCACATGCACACATGCTCACATGCACACATGCTCACATGCACACATGCTCACATGCACACATGCTCACATGCACACATGCTCACATGCTCACATGCACACATGCACACATGCACACATGCTCACATGCACACATGCTCACATGCACACATGCTCACATGCACACATGCTCACATGCACACATGCTCACATGCACACATGCTCACATGCACACATGCTCACATGCTCACATGCACACATGCTCACATGCACACATGCACACATGCTCACATGCACACATGCTCACATGCTCACATGCACACATGCTCACATGCACACATGCTCACATGCACACATGCTCACATGCTCACATGCTCACATGCACACATGCTCACATGCACACATGCACACATGCTCACATGCACACATGCTCACATGCTCACATGCACACATGCTCACATGCACACATGCTCACATGCACACATGCTCACATGCACACATGCTCACATGCACACATGCTCACATGCACACATGCTCACATGCACACATGCTCACATGCACACATGCTCACATGCTCACATGCTCACATGCACACATGCTCACATGCACACATGCACACATGCTCACATGCACACATGCTCACATGCACACATGCTCACATGCACACATGCTCACATGCACACATGCTCACATGCACACATGCTCACATGCACACATGCTCACATGCTCACATGCTCACATGCTCACATGCACACATGCACACATGCTCACATGCACACATGCTCACATGCACACATGCTCACATGCACACATGCTCACATGCACACATGCACACATGCTCACATGCACACATGCACACATGCTCACATGCACACATGCTCACATGCACACATGCTCACATGCACACATGCTCACATGCACACATGCTCACATGCACACATGCTCACATGCACACATGCTCACATGCACACATGCTCACATGCACACATGCTCACATGCACACATGCTCACATGCATCACATGCTCACATGCACACATGCTCACATGCACACATGCACACATGCTCACATGCACACATGCTCACATGCACACATGCTCACATGCACACATGCTCACATGCACACATGCTCACATGCACACATGCTCACATGCACACATGCTCACATGCACACATGCTCACATGCACACATGCTCACATGCACACATGCTCACATGCACACATGCTCACATGCACACATGCTCACATGCACACATGCACACATGCTCACATGCACACATGCTCACATGCTCACATGCACACATGCTCACATGCACACATGCTCACATGCACACATGCTCACATGCACACATGCTCACATGCACACATGCTCACATGCACACATGCTCACATGCACACATGCTCACATGCACACATGCATGTGTGCATCCTTGCGTACGTACGGTGATTTTTCAGGATGTAGTCAGCAAGAGGTATGTTGAAACCCGGATAATCCACTAGCACCTGGTGCATGCAAGGATGCACGCATGCACACACGTGCACATGCATGCACACACCACACACCACACACCACACACCACACACCACACACCACACACATGCATGCAAGCCCCCACAATCTCAAGCGCATGCACACATGCATGTGCATATGCCAGCATACGAATGCAAACAGAAAAATCATCCAGCATGGACATTGGGGGCATGTACGCCAGAGGGGCCACAAAAAAATCTTGAAAACACACAAAGGGGCTATAAGGCGCGAGCTCTAATATTAATATCACAACTTTTGAGAATTCTCACAGCCTCCAACGCTGCCCCTCCCTCTTCTACTTCCCCTCGCCCCCCCTCCTTTTCTCCTCCCCCTATCCAACATCTCCCCTCTCTTAAACCCTCCCATTCTTCTACAAACCACTGCGTGTGGCTTATGCTGCTGCACAAAGCGTTTGGCGGTGTGAAGGAGCTTCGAGTCGACTCAAAACCCTCCCACAGCCTACCACAGCTTCCCACCCACCCACCCACCCACCCACCCACCCACCTACCACCCATCCTCCCACGCACCACCGCATGTGGCTTGTGCTGCTGCACGAAGCGTTTGGCGGCTTGAAGGAGCAGCAGGGAGCGAGGCACAAAGCGCAGGGCCTCAAAGAGCCCTATGGACGACATGCCGTGGTTGCTGCCTGGGATGGTGTGGGGGAGGGGAGGGCAGGGCAGGGCAGGGCAGGGCAGGGCAGGGCAGGGCAGGGCAGGACCGGACAAGGGTGGCTGAGACTTGACCAAGAGGCGCACACAGACGGGCAGCTCATTTCTTGCTACTGCAAGAAGGTAGCACCAGCAGCATACTTGCGAGGGTAGCTAGCAGCAGTAGCACCAGCATACCTAAGAGGGTGGCACCCGCTGCTTCGCTCCTAGGCCCTGCCACTGCATACACCTCCCACTCCTCCTCTCCCTGCTCCGCTCCCTTCCGTCCCTCCTCTCCCAGCAAGCCCTTCTCTCTTCCCAGCAGTGCCGCCACCAGTCTAGCCGCATGGTCGTCCCCCATCACGTCGCCTGCGCACACCTGACCGGGGGGGATTGGTGGGGAGTGGCGGAAAGTTGGGGAGAGTGGGGGAGAGTGAGGGGGAGTGGGAGAGAGTGGGGGAGAGTGGGGAAGAGCGGGGGAGAGTGGCGGGGCAGAGAGCGGATGGGAAGATGCGGGAGGGGAGGAAGGGAAGGGGGTGGGAGGGCAAGGTGACAAGGGGGAGAGGAAAACATGGGGGAGACACGAAATGAGTGGTGTGAGACGGTTTTGGGTCCTTCCCAGAACCACCTCCTCTGAACCACCACAATGCACCTTTTACTGAGACGCATCTTTGTTGATGGGGCGCTGGGATTGTTCCTCAGTTGAGTGTGGGTGGGAGGGCTACAGGTGCGTTATGGGGGCATATGGGTGTGTTCCACCATACAATACAATCATGCCCGTTCAACCCAGTCGGTATAGCAGGCTGGGCCAACAATCTTAACTAGCCTTTTCCACTGTCTCGCGCTCACCAGTACTGTCATCTTCCGCTTCCTCCCCACACGTCCCTCCGCGCTCCCCCCCGCTGCTTCACTTTTCCCCCTCCCACCAGCATTCTTCTCGGAACGATCGGTTTCTCCGCGCCCGCTCCTCTTGTCGTCCCTCCACTCCTCCCCCGCTGCCTGCGCCGCCCCGCCTGTCTTCCCCAGTACGCCGTCTGCGCGCATCCCCTCTCGGCGCGTTCCCCCTCCCCCATGGTCGGTCTCCGCCGCCCCGCTTCCCCCCATTCTTCCCGCAGTTGCTTCCGCGGAGTAGCGCAACATCCTCCGCTCTTTCCGCGGGTTGATCCATGTCCCTGCCTCCCCGCGTTCCGGGAATCCACTTTCTTGTCGCTTTATCTGCGACGAGATGTCGCGCGGTGCGAATGCGACGGCCGAACGACAGGCGGAATGCGACAGCGGCGAAGCGGCAGCAAGAACGCAGGTCGAAGGCTCGAACCCTTCGCCTGTCCGAACCTCGCGAGGCGAACGAGGCGAAAGAAGCGAAAGGATTTGGCTTCGCAAATGATGCGAGGAAACTGAATGAGATATCATGGTTGGAGGAAACTCCGTTGTTGTTAGCGAAACACAGAAACTCTGTTGTTACCAGAGCGAACAACGGCGAGCAAAAGACTTATTCCTTAGAGGGTAGTCATAGCCAGATACTTCGCCGCTGCTCCAGCATCCACGAAACACTCATATAACAACCTCCGACCAAACCGCTAGTGGCGGAACGTTGAAATGGTCTTCACTTACTCGTGGATCATGGAACTTCAAGCGCGAGACGCGGAACAGAACATGTTTAAAAAACTGCGATAGCGGAGAATCTGAACCAGAGTGACTTGATTGGCAGCAGGCGAAATTGGAGAAGTAACAAAGATTAAAGCAAGGGTGCACTTTGGGGGGGGTGAGACCCAAAGGTTTATCACTTGCCTTGGGTGGTTACCCTGTTTGGGCTTGGGGGTCCGAAGCTAACCAAAGTTCAGTGTGGGCGGACTTGCGCGCTCTGTTCTCTCCCCCGTTGTCAGTTGCAACAACCTTACAGGGAGTTGGGAACTTGACTCACACCCAGCAGTTAGTGAACCATGAGCATGACGCGTGTGAACCATAGCAAGTGAACCATAGCAAGTGAACCACAAGAAATGAACCTCTCTAAGTCACTCAAGGTCCATGGAAGCACAGAATTGTGCCCAAGTTACCAAGGGAGTTGCTTTGTCTAGTAGCCTAGTTTTGAGCTACCTATCTGCCTTTGTTTTGTGATGCTTAAAGAGTTGTGCTTTAGTGGGCTTGTAAAAAATCTTGACCATAGTGATTTTTTTTTCCCTCATCCAGCCAAAATTCCGGCAGCTCTATTGAGCCTTTCCAGCCAAGTTTCCAGCCCTCTAGCAGTCACTATCACCCTGTTTTCAAATTGGTATCAGAGCTAGTCGTTTCGATCAACCGAGCCCGCCACCTTCCTATCCTAACATAATCCGACCATGGCGGGAGATAATCCGTCTGACCCTGCACTCCAGTCAGCCAGAGGAGCTACAGAATCAACATCATCAGCTACTGGTTTAATGGAAGCAGTTGCACCAGGCAGTTCTTCAACAACGTACTCATCACTCACTCCCTTCATGCCCAAACTTCACCTTCCTAAGTTCAACGGCAAAGATTTTCCTACATGGGCAACTCAGTTTGAACTTACTGCATCCCTTTTGGACTTGTGACCATACTATACTAGAGAAGCAGCTAAACCAACAGCAGATGCTTCAGAAGCTGAGAAACGACTTTATGAGCGCCGCAACAAATAAGCTTTTCTCTACCTACTCAATAGCATCCATGAGCAGCAGTTGAAGTCTCTCCTACCCTGCTCTACCAAGGCAAACAGTGCAGAGGAAGCATGGAGCCGACTGAAAACCATGCACCAGTCAAAATCAGAGAGCGGCCAAGCCGAAATGTGGAGCCGCTTCATGAATCTGAAGATGGAAGAAGATGAGCCCGTGCAAGCCTACCTTCAACGAGCTGAAACGATGTTGGAGGAAGCAGCAGCAATTAACTTGGAGATCCCTGAGTCACTGTTTAAGTCCGTCATTCTCACCGGCCTTACACCGGAGTGGGAAACTTTCCGTGCAACCCTCCAAGCGCTCCCGCAATCAATGAAGACTCGTGCGTTCATCTTCAAGGCCCTTATCAACGAGCAGCTAAGTCAAGACCTTGCACGGAACAAGCGGGGTGACGAAGGTGCGTGGAGTGCTACAGCAGCTACAAGATATGGCAACCAATCCCAGAGGCAATGACACTTCAACCCAAACCGCCCTCAGCCTTACTACGGTACGAAGTTTCAGTCACCTTCCAACCCATACAAACCCTCTCATTTTCCTCAGTCAAGTCCTCCCTATAAGTCAAGTCCCTATGTCCAGCCAAGGCCTTCAATTCCTAATCAATATCAGCCTAGGAATGCAAGAGTCAATCCGCCAAGAGTCAATAATTTCAGCCAAGCCTCAAATGCTAAAATGTTTAATTTTGAGTATTTTTGTTGTCATGAGTGGGGTCACCTGTGGTATGCTTGTCCTAAGTAGCCTCCTAATTGGGTCCCACCACCTCAACTACTATATGAAAAGGGTAGGGCAGTTATAGCAAATATAGCAAGTCATTCTACAAGTCAAGATGAGTCCAAAGATTCTGATGGTCCTGTTCTTTTCAATGCCGCTACTTGCATGCACGTTTTTACTACTAGTAGTGAGGAGTTTATTATTGATGGTGGCTGTTCTGAAACCATGACTCCCTATCAGTCCATTCTCAAGGATTTTCAGCCCTCGTATGACTCAAAAGTGGCGACTCTTGCTGATCTTGGCAAAGTCCCTATAAAAGGAGTCGGCAAGCTTGAGTTCGAAAAGGATGGTAAGTCATTTTGTGTCAATAAAGCTTTGTTTGTTCCTGATTTGGGAGCAAACTTGCTCTCAGCTGGACAACTCGAAGAGAAAGGTGCCTCTGTACTCTTGCAAGGGGGGAAAGCCAAAGTGTGGGACAGTGCAGGGAATTTGGTGGCTGAAGGCGAGCGTACCGGGCGGCTCTATAAGATGAAATTGGAGATTAAGTGCGGTTCTAGCAACACGAAGAACGACGTTGTCTCGCTTCCCGCTGTTTCATCCGATCAAGTCAACAACAAAGGGAGTATCTCCCAAACTGAGGTATGGCATGCACGCTTGGGGCACTTGGGAATGCAAGCATTGAAAGAGTTGGTAAATCACAAGAGCGTGGAAGGATTGAGTTTGAGTGAAAGTGCAGTCAAGTCCCTTTCTTCCGTTTCATGTCCATCTTGTGTCAAAGGTAAGCTAGCTAGGAAGCCATTTTTCCCTTAAGTCTCAGTCAAGGGACCTCCTAGTGTTGGTCCACACTGATGTATTTGGCCCCATGCGAGACCCTACTCGAAACGGTAAGAGATATTTGGTGTCTTTCATTGATGACAAGAGTCGTTTCTCGTGGTCCTTTTTCATCAACACCAAGGATGAAGTTCACAAGTGTTTCAAGCAATGGCTAGCACTTGTTGAGAGAGAGTCAGGGAAGAATTTACTCACCTTGAGGTCGGACCGAGGAGGTGAGTACATGGGGAAAGCATTTCAGGGGAAGTTGTTGGCATCGGGCATCAAACAACAGTTCACTTGTCCTTGTAGTCCTCAGCAAAACGGAGTGGCAGAGAGGTTTCATCGCACTATTCAAGCTATAGCTACCACTTTTCTTTAGTTTAAAGGCCTTGACAAGCTCTGGTGGGGTGAGGCAATCACTATGGCAATTTATGTTCGCAACAGGAGACCCACAAGGCCCCTACTGGATGGTGTAACGCCATATGAGGCTTGGTTTGGAGTTGAACCAGATCTGTCTATGCTCCGTGTTTTCGGTTCCATGGCCCAATACCGTGTTCCAGATGCAAAGAGACTCAAGCTGGACAGCAAAGCTCATTGGGGCCTCTTCATCGGCATGAGCAACGAGAGCAAGGGATGGGTCCTTTGGGATCCCGTCACCAAGCGAGAAGTGGTTTCAAGGGATGTTGTCTTCTATGAAGACATGTCCCTTGCAGATTGGCACAAGTTTTCCTCTTCCTCCTCTCCACCACCCCCTATCCAACAGGAACCAGCAAGAGCACCTGAGGAAACAACACAAGAGGAAGAAGAAGATGACACCGATTCTGACCATAGCGAACCCATCATCCATCTCCCGCAAGCCGTCGTCAACGAGACCAGCCGTGCCACACTAGTGCCACCAGCAGCTATTCAACCAAGTGGAGATGAAGTTCAGCCATCAAATGAAGACCATCCAACTCAGGAAGTCACCGTTCCATCACCGCCAAAGGAGCAGCAGCCAGCTGTCACAAACCAGCCAGCTACTTCAACACCAACCTCGCAAGTTCAACGTCAACCGGATCAGCCCACCACTACGCCATCAAACCCATCACCAGCCGTCACCCCAGAGGCAACTACAGAAGCTCACCATGATCCAATGCAGCAGCAACCGACATCTATAAGACCTCAAGTACCTACATCAACACCATCTACGATTCTTCCTAGCAACAAGCCAACCGTCACCGCAACACCTCGTTCTCATACCACACGTTCATCACTTCAAGTTCCAACGTCAAGCCAGCTCATAGCACGAGGATCACTTCAGCGAGTCACCACCAACACCAGCTCCAACAGCCCACTTCTTCACCCAAGATCTTTCTCAACTTCACCCCCACGTCCCGGAATCGGCTGTCATCAGTTACCGCCATCTTCTACACCGAGAAACAACACCAATCAGCCCCATTCATCACCACCTCTCGACAACGCAGCGTCATCATCAATTCCTAAGCTTCTAGTATCAAGATCCCCACCAAGAGCATCTTCACAACCAACTATGCCAACGAACGTTTCAGCTTCACCGCCACGAGTCACCACACTTATTCCTCAAGTCGACACCGATAATCGAGAAAGTTCCACGCCGGGAGAAGATCATGCAGCCGTGCCGCCGTCGCAGCCGATGTCGCAGCCGATGTCGCAGCCGTTGTCTCAGCCGCAAATGACTGTATCAACACATCCAAACACCGTGAGACCAAACCCTACCACTGATGTGTCTCAGCCAAGTGAGGACTATGGTAAAGCTAAACGAGTCCGCAAGGTAAAAAAGCCTTTCACATTCATGGTTGACATGACATCAAGGTGCACATAGGAGGAGAGCGAGAATTGCATTCACAAGAAGGTAGAAGCAATATGCATGGCAGCGTCACACCTTCCACGAGAGCCATTGAGTCATCGTGAAGCAGTGGC